TTTTTGCCCGGCTGGCTAGGTCTCGGGTATGGGATCCTGCTAAGTAACAGGGACACTTCTACCATGCACAAGAGAATCCCGGTGGCTCCTCAGTCCCTTCCTCAAGAGGATGCCATTGTATATATTTTGCCACAGAAGATCAATATTGTTCAGGGTGTTACCCACCAACACATCCTGCAACAGTGACTTAATTTTTTCAAGGTAAACCAGAGCCTCTCACATGGTACAGACTGAAGCCAATCTGCATGTTAGGCCAGAGTTGTACAGGCAAAGGGTGGGTGAGGAGTGGGCGCTATCGATTCATCTGATGAGCCTTGTCTGTACACTCATGTTTTCAGGCAGGTAAACATGATAAGTTTCGGTCTACAAAATTCAGTGCCTTTGAAACAGGCCTAGATTACAATGTCTGGGGAAAATTAAACTGTTTACAATTCATTTAATTAAATAATGTAATCATTTTATTTAATGATTCACTGCAACTAGGGACATACTTTTCCTAAGACATCTGTCTAGCCTGGTGGAACACTCTTCCATATGAGATCAGGGCCCTGCGGGATCTGCTTAACATAAGAACATAAGAGAAGCCAATGTTGGATCAGGCCAATGGCCCATCTAGTCCAACACTCTGTCACACAGTGGCCAAAAATAGCAGGTGCCACAAAGCCTGCAAAACAGAGTTGTTCTGTCAGGCTTTCGGTTGAGGCTGGAGGTTTCCTCCCCTGCTACATCTGCTGTGTTGTCTATACTGTTCCACCTGGTGTATCAGCAACCTTGCCCACTGTTCAGAAATTGGTCCATTGTGGGCATGTTTACATGTAGAAAGTAGCACCCCCCAATTGTGCCAGATTGCCACCTGGTGTATTGCAATTGTTGCTACAGTTTTAATATTGAATGATGTTTTAATTGATTGTTTTATTTTTGTTGTAACCCACCTTGAGCCCTGCAATGCAGGGGTGGGTGGGATAAAAGTCAAATAAATAAATACATAAAATGAATAAGTAAGCCTCTTCCAGAATAACAGTGATGGCTATTTCCCAGTCTAAAAAATTAATCTGCCTGTCTCAGCTACATGCCTCGTGAGGTTTCCCAAACTCATGCATCAACTTATACCACATGACTGCTACCCAATGTGTATTTAATTGGGAGTAAGCCCAACTGAATTCAGTGGGATTTATGTTTGAGTAAACCGTTTTAGGATTATTTCAAAAAGTGGACTCTGGTCCACAAAAGCTTATGCCGGAATAAAATTGGGGTTGTGTTTAAGGTGTCTGTCTGTTTAAAACAGAGTGGTACACATTTTACATTAATTATTTTTGTACATCTATTAGTGTTTAAATTGCCACAAGACTTTTTCACTGTTATTTCTATTATTTTTCTTGTTCATGTATTGTCCTAGCAGACACAAAAACAGTTGAGCCACCCGCTAGTTCTCATTCCCTTCTGCCTGACGATCTAGCACTTTAAATGTGGTATTTGCAGCCCAATCCTACACATGTTTACTCACAAATAATTGCGAAGGGGTGGCCATATTCGTCAGTTATAGCAAAATAAAACAAACATCCAGCTCATACTGAAATAAATGTTGTTAGTCTTTAAGGCACTGTTGGGCTTGTTTTATTCTGCTCACAAATAAATCCCACTTTATGGAAAGGGCTTACTCACAGGTAAGTGTACACAAGACTGCAGCCTTTAGAATCATACAGTGAGGCTTACTCACAGGAAAGTGTTCTTAGGATTGCTCTTGAAGGTAGCTGAATAGATCTGCAGTAGAAAACCAAGATTTGGGTTAGGGTTGCTAACCTGCAGGTAGTGACTGTAGATCTTCTGGGTTTACAACTGATGTCCAGGCAAGAGAGATCAGTTCACCTGGAGAAAATGGCCGCTTTAGAAGGTGGACTCTATGGCAGTGATGGCGAACCTTTTAGAGACCAAGTGCCCAATCTGCGACCCAAAACCCACTTATTTATCGCAAAGTGCCAACACAGCAATTTAACCTGAATAACAGAGGTTTTACTTTAGAAAAAACAACTCATACATTAACTTAAGATGATCCAAACAAAGTAAGGAAAGCAATCCCAAATGCTTTCATTTACTTTAAATTATTTGGCAGAGAATTCGACACTAATGATGGTCTAGGCCTGGCTGGGGCGATGGCACGCGTGCCCACAGAGAGGGCTCTGAGTGCCACCTCTGGCACCTGTGCCATAGGTTCGCCAGCACTGCTCTATGGCATTATAATCCATTGAAGTCCTTCCCCTCCCCAAACCCCGTCCTTAGGGCTCCACCCTAAGATAGCAACCCTAATTTGGGTCCAGTAGCACTTTAGAGACCAACAAGATTTCCAGGATAAAAACTTTCGAGAGTCAAAATTCCTTTTATCAGATACCCTTTTTTTTGCCCCTTGAAAATTTATATCCTGGAAATATTTTTGGTCTTTTAAGGTGCTACTGGATTCGAATCCTACTTTAAGAATTGCTCTGTCATTATTTAATATGAAGTTGTATGAACTAGTGATGATATACGGTGGGGCAGTAACTGCCTGTTTTCATAAAACCAGGATTCTAGTTCTGTGTCTTTTGCTAGAACAGTTAAACACAAGATTCCCATCCTCTGTGACACCATGTTCGACTTAATATTCTATTGTTTTTGGAAGATTTTTGCTAGCTGCTTTAAAAAGACCCTGAAAAGTGAGATTTACATACTCTAGAAACAAATACATTCAGACATTGTGTGTGGGGGGAATCAAGCAGGCCCCTCCCCTTTTTTATCTGGCTGAGAAACGAAAAGTTGTCCCCTCACAAAGCGGCTAAGAACAGACGCGCGCACAAACCCCTTTCTAAAATTTCCCGCTCTTTAACAAACCATCGCTCAGCGGTCCCTAGACGCGACAGCTTTCCACTGAGCATGCGCTTTTCGGACCCCACACTGCCCGCGCCTTCAGAGCCCCACTGAGCACGCGTCGTCTGGAAATCGAGCCGCCCTTACTCGTCGTCGGCTTCAGAGTTGTACTGAGCATGCTCTCTGCCTGCTTTGCCCGCACAGTGGCTTTAACATGGCAGGCGTGCGGGAGGCTGTAGTTAAGGTCTACGCGTGTCGTTGAAAAGTATTCTGCTTCTAAGGTAAGCGAGCTTCAGTAGGGATCAGGATTGCGGAGGACGCCTTCTCGTCCTGCCGGGGGATGCATATTTTGTACGCCATTGCGTCCTACACAAAGGGAAGGGGTGCAAAATGACAGGATCTTTATTTGTAAAAGATCCCGCTCCTCTCTTGGTTCGCCAAGCCCAGGTCAGCAAAGCGTATGCTACAGGGGATTCAGCTGGAGCTTCGCGTTGGTTCAGGCAAGTTTCCAAATCCTTGCAACGTTCAGACATAATGATAACACCAAGTGGATAATTTCCTTCTGAATTTTTGAGTGGGAAGGAGCTCTACCAAGTGATCCTACTACTTACACAGAGACGAAAGTATGGCTTTGCCTGCTGAATTTCTAACTGTCAGACAACGGTTTAGTTATCTACAGCATTTTTATCCTGCCCTCTCTCCAAGGAGTTCAGGGAAGCAAATATGGTTCTTCCCCTCCTTTGTTTTATCCTCAGAGAGCAACAACCCTGTGAGGTAGGATAGGCTGAGAGAGAATGATTGGCTCGAGGTCACCCAGTGAGCATCCCTTGGCAGAGTGGGGATTTGAACCTGAGTTTCCCTGGTTCTAGTCCAATACCACTATACCATACTGTGTCAGATTTAGCTCAGGTGAGTGACCCGCCATGGCTCAGTGAGCTAGCATTGCAGGGTCACAGTTCTGACCCAGCAGCGGGTTTTGGCTGCCACCTGGAACTCCCATGACCTTTGGGAGCAGAGCATGGAGCGGATGTGATGTCACTCTATGTCAGTGGTTGGGAGAGAGAGAGAGGCTGGGAAAGAGAGAGAGGGGCCAAAGAGCTGGGTCTCTCCAATTCAATGCTATAGCTACTACACAAGAGAGAGAGAGGCCGGGAAAGAGAGAGAGAGGCCAAAGATCATCCAAGGAGCTTCATGGCCTGATCAGGGCCTTGAAGCTGGGCCTCTCCAATTCAATGCTATAGCTACTACACCTGGCTGAAAGAAGCCCTGCTGTTTTTGCAAATGCCTGTACACAGACATGTTATCTCTCCCTTTAGGGTCCCTGGCAGCGAGGACCAGACCACTCACTGTTGGGGTGGAGGATAAACTTCTCCTTATCGCAACAGTGTTCTCAAGCCTAACAGGAGTGAAGGCAAACACTGCACGTGGGGAGGGGGTTCTATTGTGCTGGGCTGACCCTGCCCATAGTGACCCACAGTGACTGCAGCTATGAAAAATCCAGGCTGCTTTTAACTCAGTCCTGGGATCTGGTCCTTCAGCGCTTTAAAATGTGACTTGATGTATCTTCACAAGCCTGAACTGTTATGATTCTACCAGGGTTCTTTTTGTAGAAAAAGCCCAGCGGGAACTTATTAGCATATTGGGCCACACCCCTGACAGCACAGCTCATTAGCACATTAGGCTGCACCCCCATGTTACCAGAAGTGTGGTCATCCAGCCACACTCACCTTTCCCTTCTTATTCTGTTTACCTTGTTTGTTGTCAAAACCCAGGGCCTTTTTTTGTAGCAGGAACTCCTTTGCATGTTAGGCCACACACCCCTAGAGTAGCCAATCCTAATGAGTTCCTGCTGTTGGGTGTGGCCTATTATGCTAATGAGTTCCTGCTGGGCGTGGCCAACTTGGGAGCCAGCCGGAACTCCGTTCCTGTGCGTTCCTGCCCAAAAATACTAACAATGTCTTCTTTGTCCCAGTCCCCCCCACACATCGCATTATTTACTTACATTTTATATGTTTACACTTTTGTACTCCACTTATTCTCTAGTTTTAAAAAAGGAGCATAAATCAATTAATTTCTTTAAAATATTGCCAGTATAATGTTTATGTGCATGCTTCTGGTTTTCAGGTGCAGTCTGACTTTGATTTGTTCTTAAGGCAGAGTGAGAAAACCGTTTTCTCCTATTAACTTTTGTTTGTACTGAGGACATTATGAGAAACCTAAAATTACTGAGAACACGGGAGTGCCAGGCCAGCCAGGTTTTTGGAAGTCCACAGGGTTTCTCTCTCCGTGTGGACCGAGGGACATTATTAATCAGCTCAGAGTATGGAATTGTGGAACTGGATCCCCTCACTCAGGAGGTGAGTTACCATATTTCTTTGTCAAGTTGTTTTTATGTTCTACAGCAAGTCTCCCTAACCTTGTTGGCCTTGTGGTGTTTTAAGAACATTGAGCGGGTACTGTGGCAAAATGGCTGCCTGGGTAGGTGGAGGGCTAGGACCAATCACAAAATGTTGGAAGGTTCTGTGTCGACTGTTCTCTTACAGTGGAGGTGGCTGTTTCTGAATGGCTCTTTGCAAATACAAAAATGATATCTTTTGGACTCTTCCGAAGCATCTCCTGCTCCAACAAAGTGGCGTGAGGCCAGGACTGGCTCAGCTTCAGGGAACAAGAGAGTGGGCACCAGGAAACACATCAGCAGGTGCCATATTGGCACCTGTTCTGTCAAGTCTCTCTCTCTCTCTTCCATAGCTGTGGAACTAAAGTTATGTGCTGCTGATTGCATTTGCTGTTGCCTATAATGATTACCTGGGTTCTTTGAAGGACTAATCTGTGTAGGAATATTTAGGCTTAAGATGCTTATAACTGATGTCAGTTCAGATGACATTATGAATATTTGGTGAGGTTTCTTGGCTTAATCATAGTGATTGTTTCTCATCGCCCTCTGTTTTTTCTATTTATAGGTCACAAATGAAATTTCTCTGACAGCAGAAGGGTTTCTGCCAGAAGATGGAAGTGGACGCATTGTGGGAATTGAGGATTTGCCTGATCAAGAATCTGTGTGTGTGGCTACAGCCACTGGAGATGTTATCCTGTGCCACCTGAACACAAACCAGGTATGCTGCAATGGCAGTTGGAACTACGGAACCTCCAGGACCGCCAAAGGAGGACCAGAAATCTAACCAGGGCAGTGTGTGTTCTAAACGGGCTGCTTTCGTAATAGTGGCCTTCAAGGGGTTTGAAGACTCTTCCCCCCCATTTAAAAAAAATACTATTATTGGCTTAAATTTATAGGAAAATTAACATCCATATTGTCAAACATATATATATATTTAACCATGGACATATTATAAGAAGCCACAAGCATATTTGGATACAATAAAAAAATTTAAATTAAAAAAAAAAATAAGAAGCCACAAGCTCCCATTACATGTGCACCTGGAACCGGATTAAAATATCCCCTTTTTTCCTTCTCCTAAAATATTAAAAAACCCAAACAACCCTAGAAGAAGGTTAGTCCATTTTAAATTGAGCAGAGGCATGGTATAGCCTGATCTTGTCAGATCTCAGGAGCTAACCAGGTTCCGTATTTGGATGGGAGACCGCCAAGGAAGGCTCTGCAGAGGAAGGCGATGGCAAACCACCTCCGCTTCTCACTGGCCTTGAAAGCCCCTTGCTGGGGTTGCCATAGGCCAGTTCTGACTCGATGGCTCATATGTAGGTACTTTAGACTGAAGCAGAATCCAGAGGTGGACCACAGTCATTAGTTAAAGGCCATTGACTTAATTTTACTGAAGTAAAAGGAAGACCATGGTAGCATTTAGGGATTCGGAGGCTGACACCTGATGGCATAGCATTGGTCAGATGTATGTTAGCCATTTAAGGGCTTTTTGGCACTGAGACAAGTGATGATGGGCGGGTCATCTGCTTAAGTACAGTGTGTGGCTGCTGCTAAAGGGGCAGTAGCACAAAAAGGTGGCACCGACAACCCTGTTTTCTTTCCTCCTTTGCAGCTGGAGTGTGTCGGGAGTGTGGACAGTGGTCTAACAGTAATGAGCTGGAGTCCAGACCAAGAGCTTGTTCTCCTGGCGACAGGTACAGAGCAAAGTTTTCAAGCAGATATGGTTGATCAGCCTTTGGGTCCAGAGCGGTTGTTAGCACTGGCTGTTTTGAAAACCATCCTTTTGCTAAAAAAAAAGAACCAGCCTTGGCAATGCATTCTGCTTCCTCTTTCTATTGAGAATTCGTCTCCCCCCCACCTTGTCTAGTTTGCTTTAAACATAGTTTAATGTTACAGGTGCTCCAAAATCTACCTGGGTCAAACTGGGTCTCTACGTAACCAGGGTTTATTTCAGACTCTGGTTAAGAAGGGAATCTGTTCAGCATTCAACCATGGTTCTCCTCGATAACGCTGTCTATTTAAGATAAATTTAGGTGGGCAGCCGAGTTGGTCAGAAGCAGAACAAAGTTTGAGTCCAGTGGCACCTTTGAGACCAACAAAGTTTTATTCAAAGTTTGTTTTGCACACGAAAGCTTACCCTTTGAATAAAACTTTGTTGGTCTCAAAGGTGCCACTTGACTAACTTTGTTCTGCTGTATATTTCAGGTGCCCTGACCTGCATGGCCAAGGCTAGCCCAATCTCGTCAGATCTCAGAAGCTAAGCAGGGTTGGCCCTGGTTAGTACTTCGATGGGAGACCACCAAGGCGGTCCAGGGCTGCCACGCAGAGGCAGGCAATGGTGTAAGACAGAAACTCCGGCAGTGAACCAAAGTGAATATCTGAATATATGTTCATGATTGATTTAAGTTACTGTGATTAGAATAATCAAAGGCACTTAACATATGCACCATGTAAGTGTTAAGTGCACCTGCTAAGTTAAACTGACTTAGTCAGTGGCAGAGTGCAAAGGGTTTCATAAGCGATGTGTACAACAAAGGCAATCCAGCTCTGTTCATCTCTTGCCTTGAGAACCCCATGAGGGGTTGCCATGTCAGCTGCAGTTTGAAAGCATCTCTCTTTCTGTCTCTCTGTCTCTCTCGGCAAACTAGATAAGGGCCCTTTCTGCACTCTCCTTTTAATCCATGTTCATTACAGCATCCTCCAAGCAATTCTGCACTACAATCAAATTCGGATTTCTTTTAAATCCAGGGTGTTTTTACCCCCCCATTCTGCACTAAAATCGAGTTCAACCTTCTTTTTATTCTGTTTTTTTTCCCCCATTCTGCATTACATGACCTCCCTTCAGTGGTCAGGCCAGTTTCAGCCTGCTTCTGCCCCGGGTTATTTGGGTGCTGTTTTGCCGTGGACTTAAATTGCCTCAGCTCGAACACTGAGAAAATCCGGAGTGGCAGGCAAATGCGGAAAGGACCAAGGTGGTGGACAGTTATTGCTCAAGCAGGAGGGAGAAAAACCATACTTGTTCAAGACCAGCTCTTGATTTGCAGGGTTTGTAGAGAGCTGCCATTACATCAGCATTTGTGGGACTTAATACCTCCTACCTGTGTGACTGTAGAATAGAATCATTAAGTTTCATGGCAATGCACATGTGGAGATTGTTCAGCTGTTGCGTGCATATCTGTGTAGGAGCTTTGTTCCAAATTTCTTTTCATCTCTTGCGAGCCATGCATTCTGTCTTCTTTAACAGCTGCCCTGCTTGCAACAGGGGCTGAAATTCTATGTCAGATCAAGTAGGTAAAAGAAAGCAAAAGTTAGATTGTTTCAGCTGATCAAGAAAACTTTGTTTTTAAAATCTGTTGCACATTTTACCCCATCAAGGTCAGCAGACACTCATTTTGATGACCAGGGAGTTTGAGCCGATTATGGAAAATCAGATTCACCAAGATGACTTTGGAGAAGGTGAGTTGCTGCAGCGGCTGCTGGATTTGCACAAAATACAAAGCTCAGTTGTGTAAAAGCAAAAAAACATGCAAGGGGAGGATTGAATGCAAATAAAAAAGTATGATACCAGACAACCGGATTTGATCATGTAGTCTGACTGTTGCAAAACTATGGCAGTGCTGTTACTTAAATGCAAATTCAAATAATGCATGTAAATGCAAGGATCCTACTTGTAGAATTCAATAAAGGCCCTGGTCAAACGGAGCATTTGCCCCGCTGAAGGCACGATACTCCGGCGGATTTTCCGGACGCAATCTCACCGGAACATTTGGGAGGCATAGCACTCCCATGGCCAACCCGCGGCAAGCCGCTGAAGCTGCATAGTTAAAAGCTACCAGGATCGACCTACCAGCAAATGGTTTGCCACAGGCTGCCTCCAGACTCCTGTGGTGTGATCACGCCGGCACCCTCTTTGCTGCGCGCGCCGATGGTGGAAGCCCCGGTGTGCTGCCATCAAGTCTGATCGCCTAATCGCGCATCCGATTGCGACGGTGCAAAGAGCCATGCCTCCCTCCGCGTTTTCTGGCCCGTGTGATTCTGGCCATAGTTGATCAAAAGGGCAAGTTATCAGATTTATGGATTGCATACACACTGTTATACTTTGCTACCCTTTTTAAGCTCACTGCTTATGTACAGACTTTAAAAAGTGGTTTCCTTAACAATGACATAGGTGTCAATTGATAACTAGAGCAGAAGATGGGAAGTTTTCCTCCTTATTAAATACTGGTAGATGTGTAGATATGTTTGTGTGTATGTCCAAAACCACCCAAGCTACTGAGAATCCAGAAGTACTACCGCATGCACTAATTACAGTTCTTTACATTGACTAATCATCTGACACCTAGTCAATTGCCAGATGCTCCTTTTCCTATTCCAGTAGCACAGCACAGCAGTTATAAACAGGGCGTCTGGTTTCAAATTCACTGCCACAGGAAATGGTGGCGGCTACAAGCATGGATGGCTTCAAAAGGGAATTAGATAAGCATATGGAGCAGAGATCCATCAGTGGCTATTAGCCACAAGGTATAGATAGGGGCTCTTAAGACACTGAACTGCAGGCCGTGGAAGGTCAGTAGTTCAGCAGTTCAAGACCCGAGTCCCGCATGATGGAGTGAGCTCCCATCTCTAGTTCCAGCTCCTGCCAACCTAGCAGTTCGAAAGCAAGAAATTGCAAGTAGATAAATAGGTACCACTTCGGTGGGAAGGTAACAGCGTTCCGTGCACCTTAGTGTTTAGTCATGCCGGCCACATGGCCACGGAAACGTCTTCAGACAGCGCTGGCTCTTCGGCTTTGAAACGGAGATGAGCACCGCAACCCTAGAGTTGGACTCGACTGGCTTTCAAGCAAGGGAACGTTTACCTTTACCTTTTTATAGATAGGGGCTCTGGGGGAAGGGATGCTCTGTCTTCTTGGTGCTTGGGGGGGGTCAACAGTGGGAGGGATTCTAATGTCCTGGCCCCACTGGTGGACCTCCTGATGGCACCTGGTATTTCTGGCCACTGTGTGACACAGAGTGTTGGACTGGATGGGCCTTTGGCCTGATCCAACATTGGCGTCTTATGTTCTTATGGTAGAATTGGTCTTCTGATATGGTCTTTGTAGGTACCACAAGTTTACTGTCTTGTTACTGGAAAGAAGAGCCGAGGAATGGGAATCTGAAATGGCTTTTGTTTCTGAATCAAGATACTGTACTTGCTTGGAAAAATGTATCATCTGCTGCTGGGAGTTATAACTAGGCAAATGCATCATGCCCAGTGGATAGCCTGGAGTGAAAGGGGTTTGTAAAGTTTGATCTGAGGGCTAGGAGACAGTGTGGGGGGGAAGTGAGGGCAATTTGGGGCTTTTCTGCATCAAATGATTTTTAAAAACAAACAAACCAGTATTTCAAATACATGTTATGAATTTGTTTTCTTACTTCCAGGGGAGTTTATTACTGTTGGTTGGGGTAAAAAGGAGACCCAGTTCCATGGATCTGCAGGCAAGCAGGCAGCTCATGCCAAGCCAGTGGTATGGTATTTGTTATATAGCAGCAATGTAACTCTTGTGTTTTATATAATGCAGGATTACCAGATGTCCTCTTTTTGGAGGACATGTCCTCTTTTATTTTGGTGTCTGGCCTCCTTTGTGTTCTTTTTTTAAAAACTGATGAAAATGTCCTCTTTTTGGGTCGGAAGGTTAGGAATATTCCTAGTTAGCAGCAATTATCACAGTTTAAAATGAGATTTGTCATCGTGATGGCTTGTTTGAAGTAGTCAGTCGGGAAATATGTCCTCTCTTTTGCTTTTCAAAATATGCTAAGCCTCTATAATGAAGTGTATTTGAAAGTCTGCTTTGAGTGCTGTTTTTATGTCTTCATATATGCTTTAGCTCTGCGTATAATTGCTTTAATTATGTGTGTTTTTTTGGGGGTTAATGGTTTTAAAATGTTGTTTTTGTTACGTACGTTGTAATCTGTTAGCCACCTTGGTGGCCCTTGTGAGGGGAGAAAGGCAGGCTATACATTCTGCAGACTCAGACAAAGGGGTATAAGGAAAAGTGTACATGGAAACCATTAATGCTTACCAAAGCCATAAATAAAACTCTATAGTCAGTGTGGCAGAGTTAGTGTTGACAACTGTCTGGGACCCGGAGACCTCTCAAAATTACGGCTGTTCCCCAGACGACAGAGCTCAGTTCCCCTGGAGAAAGTGGCTGCTTTGGAGGGCAGACTCTGTGCCATTATCCCCCACTAAGGTCCCTCCCCTCTTCAGACCCCACCCACCTGAGACTTAGGGTTGCCAAGTCGTACCTTCATCCGGAGCGGGGGAATCCCGGGTCGCTCCTGGTGTACGTGCGCACGCCACATCCACGTCACCCAGAAGTGACGCGATCATGCTGGGGCGGGGCCACGACCATCAGAGGGAAAACCATAGAGTTTTCCCTCGGATGACCGTGGCCCC